TGGATGGATGGATGGATGGATGGATGGATGGATGGATGGATGGATGAATGGATGATGGATGGCTGGACAGTCGGATGAATGGATGGATGGATGGATGAATGGATGGACAGTTGGATGGACGGACAGATGGATGGATGGATGGATGGAACACATGCATGTATATATTTGCAGGGACTCCTATCTCTGTGGGGACATGTCCTTGATACACTGTATCATTTTTTCTATTTGTATTTAACTTTTAACATCAGCATTAAAATTCTTTACATTTATCATCAAAAGTGGAAGCTGTGCTGCACTCCTGGTGTCCCATGAGGAACAGTGCAGTATTATGTGTGTGTGTGTTTTTTTAACCTTTGTTTCACCAGGCAAATCTCTTTCACACTGGAGGCCTGGGCCTGAGGGCAGCCTAAACATGCACGTTTTTAAACCGTGTTAAGAAAACCAGGGTACCCTGAGAAAGTCCAAACAAACACGAGAAGAACATGCAAACTCCACGCAGATAGACCCAAGGCCCAACCTGGGGTCTGAATCCAGAAACTTCTTGCTGTGAGGCAATCATGCTAACCACTAATTCATTGTGCTACACATGAAGGAGGAAGTGAGGAGGAAGGAAACGAAGAGTTGTTCTGCTTTGCTAAAATAAAAATTATTTGATCAAGATACGTGTGAGTAAAACAGAAATAACTGCACATACGGTGTCTTTCATTAGCATGAGATGATGTTTTGTCAGGTGACAAACCAACTATAAATTAATTACTTTCTTCTTATTATTTTTTAATTAATTTTTTTATTGGCAGATTAATTTTTGGAGTCCACCAAGTAGCCACCACAGCTAATCAGCGTTAGCACACAGAACTGTCAACAGCTCAGTCAGTTTGACAGACTGAATTTAACTTTGGCATGTTAACAAGTTGCATTTTATTATCAGCATTTTATTTATTGTCAGCATTTTAGTATCTACCAATGAATTTGTAAGAATTTCCTGTGACTTGAGGGAATGCTGGTGTTGATTTTCAAAGTGCAGCAACGTACAAGTTCAAATCTGCAAGCCCAGAAGCCACAGTCATTATTATGTTAGTTATAATCTTTTTCATGCAGAGCTGAAAATACAGATCATTTCACAGAGAAAGTTCTCTACGCAAACAGCTGCAAATCATCCACATGTTTTTCATTGACAATGATCAGCTTTAAAACAGTTTGTTAAATAAAAAATAAAAAAAACTTTACTGCAAAGCGGAACATGCAAACAGTTATTATGCCTTTTCTCACCGATTGTGGTTGATTTGCAAGACTTGGCAAAGTTTCGTGTGAACACTAAAGCATACTGCAACAATGCCCACAATTTGGAGAAGTTGTGCAATCTATTTGCAGAACACCCTTTTGCAACTTTTCAACTCTAATTTTGACCAAAGGCTGGTAAAATCATAAATCTGTCATATAAACAAGTAAAAAAAATCTGATTTGTTTTTGTATTTCATTCAATGTGAAGCTCAAATAAAACCTACCATACCATTTTATTTTTGCATATTTGGGGTTGTGGTGGCGCAGAGGTTAGAGAAGGTGGGCCTGTGATCGGAAGATCGCCGGCTCAAGCCCCGGTACCGACAACATCAAAAATGTGGATGGGGTAGGTGAAGCACCCACACCTGCCCCCACCCTCATTCGCCCCACCCTGTGCCCATGAGCAAGGCCCTTAACCACCATCTGCTCCCTAAACAGGTCTCTCTTGCAAATGAATCTTGTGGCTCAATGAGACTACCTGGATAAAACTGTTCAGCAATTTGTAGACATACAGGAGTATTTTGAATTGGATTCAAAGGTGAACTGGTAACCAGTGCAGTGAGGCCAAAACTGGTGCAATGTGCTCTCTTTTGCCTGTACTGGTTAAAAATCAGGCTGCTGCATTCTGGACCAGTTGTAGTCGTGCTATGGAGGTCTGACTGATACCAAACAGGAGCGAATTGTAGTAATCAAGCCTAGATGTAATGAATGCATGTATTACTGTTTCCAGGTTATTTTTGGACAATATGGACTTCAGCTTAGATAAAAATAATAGATAGATAAATAATAATAGATAATGAAAAATAAAACCTACAAGAGTTTCAAAATAAAACTAAAGGCTGACATGGGCAAAAAATGCAAGAAACTAGAGGAACACTTAAAGAAACCCAGACAGGGCATGAGAGTGCAGTGGTAGAGGGCAGATGAATAAAGACGGAGAAGATAAATGGAGTGGGGCTGATGAGCTGAGTGGAGACACCTGGGCTTAATGACAATTGAGAACAGGTGAGGGAGGGTGTGGCAGAACGCAGGAGGAAAAGCAACAAAGGTCACTATGATCCAGAAATCTAACTGAACTGAAGAGAACCCTAAAAAAATGAAAAACAAGACAAAAAACTAAAAGAACAAAACACACACGCACAAATCCTATTATAAGTCAAGTCAAGTCAACTTTATTTATAGAGCACATTTAAAACAGAACCTGTTATCAAAGTGCTTAACAACAACAATCAATGAGTAAATTAAATAGAAAAATATATAAACATATATATATATACAATACACTAATAATAATAACTGAAGAATTAATAAAAACCATTTAAAACAGGGTCACAGATTAAAAAACACTAGATCAATTTACACTGTATGAAATGCCTGATGTCGTCCAGACATTTTAACAGAGGGTGAATGGAGCAAACACTTGCTGGTTTCACAGGCAGGTAGATCTGGCAGTCATCAGCATAGCAATGGAATGAAAGACCATATTTCCTCAGGATGGACCCCAGTGGGAGCAAATAAAGTGAGAACAGAATGGGTCCAAGAATCGAACCCTGTGGGACCCCACATGAAAGAGGTAATGAGGCGGATACATTGTTACCAACCTTGACACAGAAACTCATGCCACTCAGGTATGAGCGGAACCATTCTAACCATTCTATAAAACACAAACCCCACTTCCTAAATTAAAACATCATCTCTTCAGTGCTTTCAAATCAACCGCACCACCTGTAAAAGTTCGAACATGAAGTTTAGAGCAAATCTACAAACCACATTTAGTATCGTAGCATAATTAGACCCTAAAGGACACAAACGAGTTTAACACACTGTTAAGACTTTGCTGTCAACCAGTAGTTTAAACTGAATGCACAAACATCAAAAAAGGAATGAGCTCAACCTAATCCTTAAATAAAATCCACATTCATGTGAAACAGACACATGCAGTTACCGTAGTTGAGAGCATGAGGGATAAAGGAATGTGAATTCAATTCAGTTAAAAAATACTTTATTAATCCCAAAGGGAAATCAAGTGTTGTCGTAGCTCATCATCCTGGTTTCATTCAAGAGTTGTTAGATGCTGATAGCTGTGGGAAGGAAGGGTCTCCTGCAGTAAATCCAAAGAATCTGGCCACAGATACTGATCCGTCCACCCAGATCCAGATTGCTGTCAGATCCGGCGGGCCTCTCGGGTCCTCCTGGGCAGCAGGACTGCCCAAATGCCGTGCAGAACTCCTCCCTGACCGATGGTCACTCCTCCCAGCAGTGTGCCGAGCTCCTCGTCGCCACGGACAGACAACTGAAGGTGCCGGGGGACGATCCCGGTTCTCCTGTTGTCACAAGCCAAGTTTCCCACCTGCTCCAGGATCTCGGCGGTCAGGTACTCGAACAACGCCGCCAGGTTGATGGGAATTCATCCACGGCAACTCTTTTTCAACTCATTTGGGATTTGGTGCTCTAGTTGAGAATTAAAAGTGGTGAAGGATGAAAAAGCATTAAAGGTCAAGAGCATCATACATCAGAGGAATTTATATCAACTATGGTAAGTGGACTGTACTTACAGGATATGGCAGCTTTCCATGTAATCAAGATTCGCAAAGTGCTTCACACTACAATCTGTGCCCTCATTTATCCATTCATACAGCACTCTACTACATCTATACAAGGCTTATCTTAATCTGTAGAGTCTAATCAGAGCTTTATCACATTCATACACCGATAGGACACACATCAGAAGCAATGAGGGGTTCAGTGTCTTGCCCAGGGACACTTTGACGTGTGAAAGCTGGTGGAATCGAACCCCCAACTCTCCCATTGGAGGACGACTGCTCTAACCACTCAGCCACAACTGCCCCACAAGCATTACATATGTTTTTTTTTACCAGATGGATACAAAACAAGTTACATTATCTCATCTAGAAATCTGCAACATCCTAAAGAGCCATTAAGCAATATTATCTTTATGTGTAGGTGAATGTTGATCATGAGTCTGCAGCATTTCATATTCATTTTCAGATGAAAGATGAAACATTTCTCCCAAAAAGAAACTGACATGATTTAACCTTTTGTTGTGATTTTTTTTTTTACCTGGATGATTGAGCTTGTAAAGCTTCTTTCTGCAGCATTTAGCTTTGCATGCAGTTACACAGAAACCTGCTCACATTTTTACAAGCAAATGTCAAACTGAACTATTTTTAGTTAATATTTTGCTCTGCATAGTGGGTGCTGAGAACATTTTATTTTGACCTCGTGTAGGGGCCTCGGTGCATTTTTTTATATGAAGCTGAGCTCACAGAACAGAGAGCGAGAGGCTACAAGAAAATAATTCAGAAATGTGACCATGTGGAAACTAGTGGCACAAACCAGCTAACCGCTGAGTGTTCAACTCAACAGGTTGTTTACTGTATGAGAAGAAAAATAAATGACATTTCTGGAAAAACTGCTAATTGTGCCACAGTGTTGAGGCCACAGCCTCCTTTTAAGTAATAACTGTCACTTCCAGTTAAGTCTTTGTCGAGCGGCATGCCTTTTTAGGACTGAAGTCCGTTGGTCTTCCGTCTATATAAGCTGAAGGTGTTCTGAAGTGAAGAACTGCAGATCAACCAGCAGTCATGATGTTCCTCCTCGCCGCTGTGCTCAGCGCACTGCTCTGCCTCGCCCACGGCGCCTCTTTACAGGTAACGTTTTCAATTCAGCACGAACGCTTTGAGCCCTCCAAAATGATTTTGTAGCCGTAGACTGACGAGAAGGAACTGTATTTAACTAAAATATTTTATTACAGATTGTTTTTGAAAAGAACATTGAGAGCTCTGGTAAGACTGGGCTTATTTTTCTATAAAAGATTTGCAAATTTTGATGCTGTGCTGTTATTGACTTTTCATTGTTTTGTTAGTTCTGTCGTGTAAATGATTAAAAACTAGATTATACTTTCTGACTTGCAAAATCCAGCTTTTGTTAAAACAAATTTTAAATATTGTTTTACAACGAAAACAGTCACTTTTTTATTGATTTGCTGTAGTGAAGACTGTTTTATTCCACAGGGAACACCATTGAAGATGATGACTTCAGCATCTCCTCCCTGCTGGAAAAGGCCAACGCTAACGTCGGTACGTTCCCGTCCCTTTCAGCTGCTTCTACTTTTTTTTTCTCTGCGATGAAAACTGCGACAAAATAATTTAATCTTGAAAAGCAGAGCCGCTGTGTTCGTAACGCAGTGCATGTACACAAAAGAAAACTTTTTCTCCTTCTGACATTTTGCAGGAAAGAATCTGGATGACCCTCTGGTGATGTTTGGAGACATCGCCATTCCAACGGGTCTAAGGAACGCTGATCCCTGCACAGCCCAGGGATGCCTGTGGCCAAAAAACAGCAACGATGGCAACGTCTACATTCCGTATCTTATTTCCAACCAGTACTGTGAGTCCCATATGAGCTTTTGTATCTGTTTATTTTAGCTGTTGAACATTTTAAATACGACTGAAGTCTCTGACACCATGTGCACCCATGTAAACAGATAGCTATGAATTACATGATATGAAACATGTACTAGAACTCAGTAGTTAATCATTTCATATAAGTCAAATCTGTTTCCTCTCTTCCTGGGACACTTTTGGCCCACTTAAAGCCCAGATATGTCTACTATTTAGGTTTATTTGGAATAAAAAAAAGGCATAAAGTGTCATGGTTGGTGTAAGGTTGGACCCAGATGCTTCTAACCTACAAAGCTCTCAACAACCTAGCTCCATCTTATATTACAGACCTTATTGTTCTATATTTTCCTAATGGAGCGCTTTGCTCTCAGACTGCAGGCTTACTCGCAGTTCCTAGAGTTTCCAAAAGCAGAATGGGACGAAGATCTTTCAGTTATCAGGCTCCTCTCTTATGGAACAAACTTCCAGTTTCTGTCCATGAGGCTGACACATTGTCCAGTTTAAAGACTGGGATTAAGACTTTCCTTTTTGATAAATCCTATAGTCAGGGTTGACTTGTTATGCTGCTATAGACTTAGACTACTGGAGGATAAATTGACCTCTTTTCCTTAAATGAATTGTTGCAACTGGATAGTTTTCATTCAATATTATTTCTATCTTAACGTGATTCTTGACCTGCCATTGTGTATCTGTTCCTCTCAAACCCAGCTGGTGGAAGCAGATGTTGCTTGTCCTGAGTCTGGTTCTGCTAAAGGTTTCTTCCTCATGAGGGAGTTTTTCCTTTCCACTGTCGCCTTCATGCTTGCTCAATATGAGAGTTCTGCGATGGAGTTAAACTCAGAGCAGTCTGCTCCTCAGATAAATAGTGTTATTAACTTACTTTTATATTAATGAATGTTTTGCCCTGAGATGACTTCTGTTGTGACTTGGCGCCATATAAATAAACTGAACTGAACTGAATTGAATAGATGTGGGCAAACACAAGGAGCAAAGAGGTTAAACTAAAAATGTATGTATTAAATAAACAACAAAACAAAGCTGGCGTGGCAGCTAAACTTACACACACAGGAGAACACAGAGAAGCACAAAATGGGCCAAGACATATGAGTGAACCAGTATCATGAGCTGCTGGTGAGGTGGTGAGAAGAGATGGTTTAAACAGGACAAAGGTTGCGTGGAAGGTGGCAGCACCCGTGTGATTATAGACTAGGAACAGGTGTGGAAGTGGAAAGCTGACTCAGGGTAGAATTTTATTTATTTAATTAGTTTATTTGACAGGGACAATGCACACAAACATAAAACAGAACAAGTCTGTGACTGATGTGTTGCACAAAGACTATATAGCTATAGCTAATTCGCAACTCCAGTCCATGGTTGGGCATTTCTACGCATTAAAATACATACAATTTATCCATCAAAATACAGTAAGAATACCTACGTATTCCTGCCTACATATTCATGTAATCAACCTAACTACCTCCAAATTCATATAATAAAGACTATATGGACATGACACTGCAACGACTGAAACATGGACTACACAAGGAGTGATCTGAATATACAGAAATGATAAGAATGTAAACTAACATGGAACATAAAATAACAGAAGCTCACAAACAACAGATATGAAAGAACCTAACAAACCAACTCAAAGGATCACTGAATAATCAAAACAAAACTCACTGATCTGACATAACGATGTTGCATCACACAGATCACTCCCTCATCCGCAGGAACATCTTCAGCCTGAGTGTCTCTGGATCCTTCCAGGATCTTACGTTTGGAAGTCCCAAACAGAGACAACTCACACAGCTGCTAACATGCCGTTAAGATGCCAAAGCAATAATTAGTCAATTGTATTATTTTTCTATTTCAAGCCGAAAGAGAAAAAAACATTATCGTCAGAGGTTTGCAGTCATTTGAAGCTTCCACCTGCATCCGCTTCAGGCCCCGTCAACAAGAAAGGGACTTTGTGAGCATCCAGTCTCGCTCTGGGTAAGGACCACACAGATCAGGGTTTCTGTTTTCTTGCCCGCAGGCTGATGAGGCGGCTTCAATGCTGTTCAACTTTCCTCTTTCAGGTGTTTTTCTTTCATTGGACGGCAAAACGGCGGACAGATCGTGTCGCTGAGTCGCCAAGGTTGTGTCTTCCACCAGATCGTCCAGCATGAGCTGCTCCACGCGCTGGGCTTCAACCACGAGCAGACCCGCTCCGACAGGGACCAGCACGTCCGCATCCTCCTGGAGAATGTGATCCGTGGTGGGTGGGATGTTACCACCGATGCAGTTCACCGAAAAAAGTGGAAAACAAATGTTTTTGTCTACATTGGTATAATATCTTAACTGAGCATGAGCACGCAGACACAGAAGTTGCAGGGTAACACGGTCAATTTTAAATATTTTAGGACACGGGATTTAAAAAAAATGTGTTCAGCATTATCAACCATGATGTACCATTTTTTTGTTTTTGCTCATTGACCTCTCCTGCTTGTTTAACATGGTCTGACTGACTTCACAGGGATGGAGCATAACTTCAGGGTGATCAATACCAACAACCTCAACACTCCTTACGACTACAACTCTGTCATGCACTACGGAAGGTAACGTCTCAGCAGGCCTTCTGATTATTGTACAGAAAAAATATTCACAAGTAAATATTAATGGTAATCAACCAGTCACTTTTAAATCTGTGTTGCTCTAAAGCAGAGCTTCTCAAACTTTTTGGGTTCAGGGACACCCTACAGGGGAGAAAATGTATCAGGGACCCCCCCTCATAACCCTCATGTTAATTAAATCATTTTCTTCAGTTGGTCTCTTTAATGCAATAGTAATATTTGTGTAACATAAATACTAAAGACCTGTTCATTAATAGTGGTAATACAATTTTTATACTTTTAAACATGGAGTATTTTCCATTCAAGACACATTTAATTAACAAAAAATTGAATTTCAACTTGCAAAAGTTACAGTTTTGAGAAAATGAACAGCATCAAAAAACACTTTAAAATTTTTCCTATTCACACAATGAACACTGCCACTCTTCTTCTATTGCCACTTTTCCAAATTATTACATAAAACTGAACAGAATCAGGCAGCACGGTGGCGCAACTGGTAGAGCTGCTGCCTCTCAGCGAGCAGGTCCCTGGTTCAAACCCCGGTCCAGGGGCCTTTCTGGGTGGAGTTTGCATGTTCTCTCCGTGCATGCGTGGGTTTTCTCCGGGTGCTCCGGTTTCCTCCCACAGACCAAAAACATGCATGTTAGGCTGATTGGTAACTCTAAATTGTCCCTAGGTGTGAGTGAGAGAGTGAATGGTTGTTTGTCTTGTTTGTCTCTATGTGGCCCTGTGATGGACTTGCGACCCGTCCAGGGTGTACCCCGCCCCTCGCACAGTGATTGCTGGACATGGGCACCAGCGACCCCCGTGACCCAAAATGGAATAAACGGGCAAAGAAAATGGATGGATGGATGAACAGAATCATAACAGCAGTAGCCATACCACGTCACAAGGCTTAATTTGTAAACGGATCGATGCGGGAACGCAAATGGGGGGGGGGGGGGGGGGGCATTACTTTTGAACAAAGTACACGTGATTTCCTGCATTTTGGTGTACTTTAATGGGTTGTTAAACACCAAAGTTCTTGTTATATAGTGGCAGTGTAAAATATGTTGTTTTGGGGTTTTTTGGACCCCCAAGTAATGGCTCACAGACCCCCAGGGGTTCAGGGACCTCAGTTTGAGAACCACTGCTCTAAAGGGACGTTTTGAACATTTTAAAGTGAGATTCAGTGAAAAGGTTATAAACAATTCGTATATTATCTGCTGTAGATATGTATTGGAATCACGCCTGTTTAATGTAATTTCATGTACAGTATTTTGCATTAATTTCTCATTACATGGTTGTTTACTTGACATCCTGTGGAGGGTTTTATCCATGTGCAAGTAGCTGCAGCACTTCTGAGGCACCCCGGAGTCTCCTCTGCTGAAATAACTATAAACTAAAAAACTGAAGGCAGTGTATAGTATATAATATATATATATATATATATATATTAGCTTTTACATGAATATCTATAAGTTTTGTGAACTGAAGTTGTTTGAAGATGGCAAAAACCTGCTTTGACTAAATTAACTATTTTACAAGCAGTTCGAGAGGATTTCTTGTCTTTAAACAACTCCAAAACCACATAGAGGTCCATACAAACGCTGTTATTTAAATCATCATTGCTTGTTACATATTTATCTTGCCAGAAACATACGAAAACCCGGCGGGATGTGCCTTTCACACTTCACCAGAAGTGCTATGGCTTGCTGCTGCTGCTGCTTTGCAAATATCATATATCAGGGGTGGGCAACGTTAGTTTCCTGAGGGCCGAATGAAGATATCTGAAGCAATCAAAAACTTACCAAGCTTGATTAAAAAGTCTCGTAAACACTCTTTAGGAATATAAGACAGTTTGTAAACTTATTAAGAATATCATGGGCCAGTGGAGCTTGTCCAAGAGGCACTTTTGGCCCTCCAGCCATATATTGCCCACATCTGAATAACTCTATGTAAATAGCTGTGAAAGTAAAAACTGACAGCATCATGAGTGTCTGTGAAATACAAATCTTATCAAATCTGGAGCTTTTGTGGAGACTGGAGATGTTTTAAGACGGCAGCAATCCACAGTCAGACAGACTGAAGAAACTGATTCTGATAGAATCAGCAATTTAAACGACTTTGGTCTGTCCTGCGTAAATTGTAGTCTTTTCCCAGCTTGTTTAAAGAGGATGTTTTATGTTCACCCCTAACGACCCAGTTCTTGTCAGCACCAACAGTTCCACCTCCTCCGTCTGCTCCTGTATCAGCTTCGCTGCTCCTTGCAGACAACCCTGACAGTGGTTTGTGGATCAGGTGGCGATAAAGACTCGGACTGTGACGAGTTGATAAAGATGCAGTCTCTCAGGCCTCCCGTTTGTGTCCACCACAGGTTTGCCTTCTCTAGAAACAGACAGCCCACCATCATTCCCATCCCCAACCCCAACGTAGCCATCGGACAAGCCAGGGAGATGAGCAGCAACGACATCCTCCGGGTGAATCGCCTCTATCAGTGCAGTGAGTAATGTAGCCTGATTAAACTATTTCTGCACTGGTGAGAGTTTACAGTGATAATGTGAGGCGTGAACTCACCAGAGAGTCTCTTTCATTATTCTTTTTACTTTAACTCTGTTTTGGTTTTCTTTATATCGTGTTCTGATGCACTTTAGGTTTTTGTCTCATTCAGTTAAAGTGTGTAAAACTTGTCAAAATGTACGACAAATTGTACTATAACAAAAAATACACATTTGCAGTTATCTGAATATAATTTATAGCAACGCTTGTTTTCTCACACCACCTCTCATGTGAATTCTTACCTGTTTGTGTGTTTAATAATCATTTTAGACGTCTATCTTTTATTCACGTCTCCAACCACGATTTGTTTTTGTTTTTTACCACCAGGAACCTGAGAAGAACTAAAGAAGAGGGATGAAGCATTTTAAGCAAAACCAGAGAGGCTTCGTGTGCTTTCTGATCGGATGTGCTCCAATCAAATCCTGTGGTTGATGTGCTTTTGTGCTCAAATAATGAAGAATTTAAAAAGTAGGCAACAGATCGACCAACTTATAGATATAGAACTTCAGGAATAAATGATTGCCCGCTTTATGCAAATTAAAAAACAATAAAAGTCTTTAGTATCATCTCGAGTTCCATCGTGGTTATTCTGCTTTCACACAAACCCAGCAAAATAATATGAGACTAAATGTAGATTGAACTTTTACAAGAATATCAGAATACAAACATCTGTTTTTCTAGAAAAGAAATCAAATGAAAAACAAACCACTTGAACAAATGCATGACTTAACTTTCAAAGTGCACCCATGTGAGCCTAAAATGAAGGTCCTCATCTACTTGTTGGTCACTGTCATGGTGTTTTGGCCTTCATTGAAGAGTTTAGTGCAGCAGTTTGACAAACACAGGTGGTGGAAAGGAGAACATGCTGCTGCAGATAAGATGACAGACGCAGAACAGGCAGTTCTACACACACACACACACACACACACACACACACACACACACAGAATGAGACAGGGAGGCCTATGAGAATGTCACACTTGTTAACAGTTACATAAGGTTAGATGAGTCAACTGAAGTTTTTTGACCAACGCTAACTCCATTTTAACGTGACAGTCTTGTTGTAAAGTGAGATTGTTAATGTTTTCATTCAAACCTGGAGCTTGAAATGAAAAACAAAACCAGACTGGTTTGAAATAACGAAGAATTGCGGTGGTTTCTCCAGGGAGGTTCCCTTCCCGCAGTATTTGTTTCTATTTTTCATCTGTATTGTTTTTCCTAAACGGCACATAGTTAAGAAATAATCTTGAATAAATAGCAGAAATGACAAGGATCAGAGCTTAAGGAGTGTGCATGGGCCACATTAAGTTTGATTATTGAAATCAGCATGTTGCTCTGTTCTGACAGGAAAATTAGACATGAATGGTAAATGGACTGTACTTATATAGCATCTTTCTATTTAATCAAGATACTCAAAGCTCTTTACAACAACCTGTGCCTCATTTACCCATTCATACAGCACTCTACTATATATCTCTACAAAGAATAATCAGAGCTTTATCACATTCATACACTGATGGGACACACATCAGAGGCAATGAGGGGTTCAGTGTCTTGCCCAGGGACACTTCAGCATGTGACTGCTGGTGGAATCAGCCCCCCAACTCTTACATTGGAGGACGACTGCTCTAACCACTCAGCCACAGCTGTCCCAATGAAGAGAATGAACTTTGAGCTTCTCGGTTTGGATTAAAAAAAAAATGTTTGTGGTTTGATGCAAAAACACATTTTATTCTAAATTATAGTTTCAGATACAAACAAGTATATTTCAACACAGTATGATGGGTACAAAACTGCATTTTTGCACCTACAAGGTGCTTCCCAAGCAGTTATCAGCTGAAAACCTTCTACTTTTAAACAATGAGGAGAACAGTGTCAAGCCTATAGTAATTTAAATAGTACATAAAATCAATGTGCTTAAGAAATGTTGAAAAAAACAAGAGCATTAAAAAAAACTATATGAGGATAGTATCATTATTCATTAAACCTGGACTTCAAGACGTCTGGTCCAGGTGGACCTCAGCATCGGTGAGGTACAGTGGGATCAGTCGGGGGGGACTGCAAAAAAAAAAAATAATACAACCAGAAAAGACCTGAAAGATCTCTCATGAAGCTTAAACAATATTTTTGGTGTTCTGTGAAAATATCATGAACAATAAATATTTAACCTGTTGCAGATAGATCTCTGAACGTCATCAGATTAACAAGCATTACTAATAGTTATCTATGTACAGTCCCTGGCTACTTCGTGGGTCGTTTATCGCGGACTCGCTCTATTGCGATTTTTCAAACTAAGATTGAACATGACACACAACTGGTTGATTGATGGATGAGCCGCACGATCTGCATTAAATTTTTATTTTAAATGAATTATTTTTAATTATTTAGCATCTGCTGCACATCTGTGCAGCCCAGAGCAGCAGAAAAAGCTTCCTCCTGCAGTTTTGTGCAGCCCAGGATAAACTTCCTGCTGCAATTAAACAGCTGATCAGCTGTTCTCCATGCAGAGCAGAGAAGTGGGCGTGGCCAAGAGCACTTGCAGGTGTCAAAGAGCAGAGGAGGCAGAGAGCTGAAATCATGACATGCTGTGCTCTTTAGAGCGTTTAGAGTTTAGGAACACTGTTTAGAATATTGCAAGAGTGTGGGAAGAGTTTAAAACACCTTAACGCCCTCGGGCCACACTATGGACACCCCTGACCTTAAGAAACTATGTGATGCAAAAAACAAACAAACCTAATTTTAAAACAATATAAATTCTTATTTTTTATTCATTTTATATTTATTAATTTTTAAGCTGCATTACTTTTCCTTTGATAGTTGCTGTGCCATTTGTCACAGGGCTGCTGATTTATTTTTCTGTTTGTGTCAGTGAAAAACAGCATCTATCAGGGTCATGTGACTCATGTCCCTGCAGGGAGTGATGTGGACAGGAGAAGATCACTCATTTCCTCCAGACACTGCTTAACTAAGGCTCACCTCTTTTCTCACTGTACTTTGTGCAATGATAATAAAACTTATTCTGATTCTGAAACACACCGAGGATATTTTATTTTATTTTTTTTGCCTGTCGCACTCATATTGTTTTTATTTATTTATGTTTGACAACCATTGAGAAAAGCTATGCTTTCCACTGTTGTCATTGCACTTTAGTGTGTCTGATTTGCTTATCTTTTCCTCTGTTTTTACCTTGGTTTTCTGTGAGAAACCAACAAATGGTGGAAAAGACACAGAGACCTGATGGCGCACAAGAAATTGAAGTCACAGTTCCAATGAGATTAAGATAATGCACAGCAGTGTTTCAAAATAATAATTAGCCTTGCATAGTTCAGGTCGTTGGAGTTCATTATACAAGTTTAAAGCAGAGGTCTGCAGACAGGTTTTCATTGTGCCACTTTGTGTAATTCTGCTGCAATGAGCAGACCAAGTGGAGAAATTAAGATGTGGCATCGTGTTTTATAGAACATACAGACTTGTCTTGATTTGTGCCTCATGAACAAAATGAAAGGGTGAGAAATGTGACATGTTTGGTTGTTCTGAGTCTCTCGATGAGCAAGGAAAGAAAGAAATTGCTGTTTCATTAAAGAAAATAAATTACATATTTTATGTGTTATATTGTTTAAGCTATATTTGTAATCTAAAAAAGTTATATCTGGTCCTCTGGACATTCAAAAAAAACAAACAAAAAAAATGTAGAAACGTTTCGTCTCTCATCCAAGAGACTTCCTCAGTCTGAGGTGCTGTATTCAGCTCAGTCTCTTAAATAGCACCTTCTCAGAGTGGATCAACCAGTTTTGCTGCTGACAACCAAAACCAGCTGATCACATGCTCAAGAAGGACCATCAGCCTAACAATGGATCATTAGCACACTGATGGCTGTTTACTGTTCAGAGAGGGCTGAGTGATACTAGCAATCACAGCATTGTAAGAGGGGGACAGTTGAACCAGGAGGCCTCCACCCCTGTTTAATGATGGATGACTTCTTTTCACAAAGATGGCCTCCTTTACTCCTCTCTCAAACCATCGTTCCTCTCTGTCCAGGATGTGAACATCTTCATCCCTGAAAGAGTGACCTCTGGCCTGGAGATGAGTGTAGACCGCAGAGTCCTGGCCTGATGATGTTGATCTTCTGTGCTGGGACATCCTTTTGGCCAGTGGCTGTTTAGTTTCCCCGATGTAAGACTGATCACAGCCCTCCTGACACTGAACAGCATACACAACATTACTCTGTTTGTGCCGGGGGACTGGATCTTTGGGATGAACCAGTCTTTGCCGTAATGTATTTTGGGGTTTAAAAGCCACTGGGAACTCACTTACAGAAGGGGGCCACAATTAAAACCTTTTTCGAACTAAGGGCCAGTTTCAGAATCTACATTCACTCAAGTGAGATACTCGACACCTTTTCTTGGTTGTAGGTTCCTCAACTTTCTCTGTTGCACTTTTGACATCATAATCAAAGATTACTGAAAACATTCAAATATAAAAGTATTTTATGTTTAACATTATCATCTTGGGGGGCCAGATAAGATGTCCACGAGGGCCACATTTGGCCCCCGGGCCTTGAGTTTGACACATGTGCTCTAGAGCCTGTCTTGTGTAGGATTTCTCCTTCTGCCTGGCTCCTGAGCTAGTGAGGATGCTGTCTGCTCTGTGATACAGAGTCCTGATGACTCCTAACTTGTGCTCCAAAGGGTGATGGGAGTCAAACTGTAAATACTGGTCTGTGTGGGTGGGTTTGTGGTACACCTCAGTTTGCAAATGAGCACCCGAGACTGAGGAAGTCTTTCGGATGAAATATGAAACGTTTCTACAATTTTTTTGTTTAGTTTTGTTTTTAATGTCCAGAGGACCAGATTTAACTTTTTTAGATTTTTCTACCTGGATTATTGAGCATGCATCAGGATATAATTGTAATATTTTGTCAATAGTTGTGGTGATATGTTGACAATAATAACTAATCTCAAATAGCACAACAATTCTATATAAAAACATCATGTAGTCATGTAGTAGTGAGAGTAACCAACATAAATAGTCATAAATAGGCTATCATAAATATCATAAAAACTTTCCAGGACATGTACCACTGCCTATGTCTGTGTAAAGCACGCAGCATCATTAAAGACCACACCCACCCAGCACAAGGACTCTTCCATCTACTACCCTCAGGCAGACGATACAGGAGTCTGCTATAGCATACAAAAAGACTAAAGGACAGCTATTACCCACAAGCTGTCAGATTACTGAGCTCTTGATAAATAACACTGAACAACTGACAGTAACATTGCACTAAGCCACATCTGTGACAACTAATATGTTTATTGCTGCTGCACCATGTGGCTGTATCATGTATGTCACTATTCATAATTCATCTCTTTCTTTTTCACTTTTTTTGTACACTTATTGCATGCTTGACTATTTCTTGGGGGTTTTTTTTTAGCGAGTCGAATCAGTTCTTCTCACCCTGAACATTTCATTACACTGTTAACCTCGTGTTATTTTGCATATGACAAATAAAACAACATAGCATGACAAATATAACCGCCTGTAAGAGTACTCAGAATCACCTTTATTACGTTTCTGCAACAAGTCCATATTTTGGGCTAATGGCACACGACCCAAAAAATTTTTCTTTGAAGAATGTGAGATTTTTTGCTAACAAAACCAACAAATGGGCACATTATTGCCTGTTGTTCCGTTTTCTGCAGCGAGTGAAAAATGTACATTTTCAGCTGTAAAATAGTTTGGACTTCAGCGTGCATGTTTTTTTTTTTATATATATATATAGAAGCACTCTGTTGCTTGTGGCAAACATGCACCTAGATTTTCACAGTTCACACACACACATGCACGCACAGCTCAGCAGCTGTCCTCTTCCCACATACAGTAAAGCTATGGACCGTTTCCATACTGTAAGGACTGATAAGCTGCAGGTTTTTGCTGATTCTTGGCCTTTTCTGTAATCTCTACGTGCTCTCACCGATTCAGCTTAGCATATATATACAACATCCAGGAGTCCCGACTCTACTGAACAGATCCACAGAGGATCCAAAGTGAGTTCTGCTGCAGTGAAGACGTCTTCTGTGGGTGTTTAAAGACGAATGCATGAGTTTTCAGCACCTGATTGTTCGTCTCCTTGCAGGTTTGATCAGGATGTGTCGCCTGTCTGTTTTCTCGGCTCTGGCTCTTCTGCTGCTGTCTGCCTGCTGCTGGGCTGACTCTGAGGTAGGAACATCTGTCTGGATTCACCACAGCACATCTTAAAGCTCTCTGAACTGAGCTGACACTGCTACAAATCTGAAAACTCCTTTATTTTCCCTCACACAAATCCCTGATCCATTCAAACCATTTTAATTAAAAGTGAGGCTTGTTTAAAGTCCCCCCTCTGCTCTTCTCTGGAACCATCATCACTATTTGGCAATATTTTAAAAGGATATTATTTAATGATTGGGTAGTATATTTGTTTTATTATACTATTATTACCATTACCATATCATACCATTATTTTATTGTAAGCACTTTGGTAACAGCTGCTGTTTGAAATGTGCTTTATAAATAAATTTGACCTGATTTATTGCATCATGTTTAAGGATACAGCAGGGTGACTGTGGACCAGGAGGTGAACTCTGGTACTGATCCATGTTAGCTTTGTGTACGCATTGGAAGAAATGTGTTGCTTCTCCTTATAGAAGAGTTTAAACAGCAATGTAACTAACTACTTGAGTATTACTACTTGTGCATGTTGTAAAAGTTGTTCTTACATTAATAAATAATGTAAGATGAAGATCATGTTAAATTGTTTGCAATCCATCACCAACTGAACTGTTGATTATTTTTAATCAATTCAGTGATTGATGATTGAAACTTTTTAAAATACTGAAAAAGACGATAAAGCACTTTAAATGCTTAAATGATTAATTGAGGTGTTTTTTTAGCCATCAGTCATTGAATTGTTGGATGTTATATGTCATAAATGTTGTTTGTTTAAAGTTTCAATTATGAACAAATTTACTAAAATACAATGTAATTTAACTTAAAAGGATGAAAGTTTGGTAAAACGTCTGGAAACAGGCAGTAGTATAAGGTTAAGACACAGAATGTTGTTTATTTCCAAACATGTTAAGTTCAATTTGAGCCAAAAGACTAAATATGTTTTATCTCCTGTTTTGGAATCCTTCTCCCCATCATCGTCTCTCCTTCCTGCTGTCCTGCACTCCTTCAGTTAGGTATGGAGTCTGTTCCAGTATTAAAACGTGTTTATATGAACACACGTTGCCATGCCGTCATTTAAAACGCTCTTGTCTCTAAACAGAGGACCTTTCTGTGTCTGAACTCTTGGAGCGAGCCAACCGCAACCTGGGTGAGTCTTCAGCCACGATCCAGCCCTGATTTTGTCTTTGATAATCGGCCGGGTGTGTGTAAGTGTTGGTGTGGTTTGTTTCAGTCCGTTCTGATGATGAGCCCATCCTGATCGAAGGAGACATTGCCATTAACACTGATGCAGAGAAAAACGCTGATCCCTGCACCAGCTCAGGCTGCCTGTGGGGCAAATGGACCGATGGGAACGTTTACATTCCTTACTACATTACCAACCACTTCAGTGAGTGTCACAGAAAGACATGCACAGTTGTTTTGATAAATGGAAATGGACTGTACTTATAAATCACCTTTGTATCGGATCAAGACACTCAAAGCACTTTACACTACAATCTGTGCCCTCATTTACCCATTCATACAGCACTCAATATCTAAAGTCTAATTTGTGCTTTAGATCACATTCATACACCAATAGGACACACATCGGAGGCAGAGAAGGGTTCAGTGTCTTACACAGGGACACTTCAGCATGTGGCTGCTGGTGGAATTGAACCCCCAACTCTTGCATTGGAGAGCAACTGCTCTAAGCACTCAGCTGCTTTGATCAGTGCACAGCTTATTACAGCAGCATCCAAAACCAAAAGTGAGACTGATCACACATGCAACTGCTCATCTGTACACAGAGGACTGGGCAGCAATGGTTATCAAAAGGCCAAGTCCAGTTTCTTCTAATAGTTCAAAAAACAGACAGGTTTGTCTAAAGGTCAAGAGATATTTTGCTAACCAGTAATGCACACGAACACAGGTATAAAAACAAAAAAACATTGTAACTGTTCACCTTTCAGTGGTGGGGAATAAAAACAGTCCACAAATGTTGGTAGAGATGCATGATCACCTGTTCTGAGGTGTATTATTGTTACTGGGGTTCCAAACTGCTTTTAAAACAGTCCAGAGAAGATAATCAAGACACCAACTTGTGATGTACTGCTCTTGTGCTCTTTTTGAGTACTGACATGTGGAGCAACAAGCCAAACAAGCCTAGGGTTTGTTTGACCCATGTGATGGTTCTGGGGCTAACTGACTCCATACATCATGACTGTAAGAGTTCAAATATCACAGCTAGCCTATAGTTTCTGGAGCTGTTTGGTTTAAATACCAAACCAAATACCAAAATGGACCTGTTCTCTTGTAAATGAGTCCTCGTGATTCAATGAGACTAACCTGTGTATGGTAAACAAAAGTCGAATGAATGAAAAAAAACAACCTTTGTTTGGTTTCATCCTGCCAGCCGACCGTGAGAAGGCCATCATCACCCGTGGACTGGAGTCTTTTTCATCCTTCTCCTGCATCCGCTTCAGGCCCAGCAGAAGCACCGACAGTGACTGGCTGAGCATCGAGTCCCAATCCGGGTACAAATCTGACCGATGAGCAACTTTACCGTGAGCTGAAAATTCTCCTGGGACCTGGCAGAACTTCAGCATCTCTCTCCTCTTGTGCAGCTGCTGGTCTTATGTTGGCCGTCGTGGTGGTAAGCAGGTGGTGTCTCTGGCTAGGAGTGGATGCCTGTACCACGGCACCGTCCAGCACGAACTGCTCCACGCTCTGGGCTTCAACCACGAACAGACCCGCTCTGACAGGGACAACTACATCAAAGTTCTGCTGCAAAACGTTCAGTCAGGTAATGGAGCGCTTTACTGCGCACAAGTGTCACCCAAGTTTCATGAAGTGATAGAGTGATCCCCCCCCCACAGGAATGGAGCACAACTTTAGGAAGATTGCCACCCTCAACCAGGGTACTCCCTATGATTACAACTCTGTCATGCAGTACCACAGGTGAGAGACACTGGTCTTGTTCTTGATGTGCAGGATTCGCCCATGGCTCTGTCTAACTGCTCTGTATTCATTTTGTGCTAAAGGTATGCCTTCTCCAAGAACAACCAGCCCACCATGGTCCCTATCCCTGATCCTAATGTTTCCTTTGGAAACGCCAAGGAGATGAGTCGCTATGACATCGAAAGGCTCACCAAGCTCTACAAGTGCTGTGAGTCTTTTGAAGGGTTTTTTTTTTTTTAATGTGCAGCAAAATAGCACAAAATGTCCTTCCACTTGGCACTGATGTAACCCGTCATTGTGTTTTCACTGTTACAGAAGGACGTCCGCCCACGTTAGATGGCAGAGATCAAAGAGAAGACTGCACATGCAGCAGACCTGAACAGGAACAGCGTTCCTTCTGTAACACATAACATGTCTCTATAATAAGCATTCTTCTTCCTTTAATTATTTTTGAGCCTCATTTGAAGAACTCTCATTAATTGATAATCTACATTTCAGTTGTTAGTCCAGCAATATATTTTGTTCTCTAACAATTTTTTTTTTATCTTTAGAATTTTCACACAAACTATAATCAGTACTTTGTGTAAATTTTTCTGCAACGGAAGTTTGTTATCCTCCACGTAATGCGCCAGAGTTTCAAATCTCAAAAGTTTTCCTCGGACTCTGTATGTCAGATCTTTTCATTGAGCTCTTTGTGTTCGTGGGAATAAAACCTGTGTTTCAAGCAAGGCAAGGCCTGTCTTTAATTCCTGTGAAACTAAAGTTCAAACTTTTCCACAAGCTGATGACAGGAGAAGATTTCATAACATAATTACCTTTGTCCATGTTAAATATGTCACTTCAATCTACATGAAAAATGTTAAATGATCGAATGATCTGAACTCAAACAGTGATACTGTTCACAACAGATGATCAGTCTGTTTATTGCCATCATGAAGAGAACAAATAAGTTGCCCAATCTTTATTGGTTAATAATTATTGTTTCTCATAACATCAAACTTGTACATGAAATTCCCAGGAGTTCGTTTTATCGCCATCAACATTGTAAATGTATGATATGTGTATAATAAAACATTGCTCAACAAGAGTTGTTGCAAACCTACAACTTCTTTGTTTTTAGTAGGTGAGACGTCTTTGTGAGAAATAAAATAACTGATGTGCTTCATATTCAGTAGCCGGTGCCTGACAAAATATGTGTGGAACCCTCTTACCCTCATCTATGGTCATGAACTTTGGGTAGAGACTGAAAGAACAAGATTGCTGATACAGGTGCTTGAAAAGAGCTTTCTCCACAGTTTAGCTGGACTCTCCCTTACAGATGAAAAGATGTAAAGTTATCTGGGAGAGACTCAAAGTAGAACTGCTGCTCCTCCACATCGAGAGGAATCATCTGAGGTGGTTTGAGCATATGATGAGGTTGTCCCTTGGCTGCCTGTGGCCAGCGTGTCCTAGGACGACCCTGAATATGGTGGAGAGACGATGTCTCTCTGTTGATCTGGGAATGTCTTGGAATCCTTCCAGATGAGCTAGAAGAGGTGACCGGAGAAAAAGATGTCTGGGTCTCTCTGCTCAAGCTGCTGTCCAACTCTGGAACAAACTGAAGATCATGGATGGATGGATGGATGGATGGATGGATGGATGGATGGATGGATTATACCATACCATTTTATTTATAGAGCACTTAAAACAACGACAAGGCCAACCAACGTGCTGTACAGACAGAACATGGGGGAGTGGTGGCGCAGAGGTTAGAGAAGGTGGGCCTGTGATCGGAAGATCAAGCCCCGGTACCGACAACATCAAAAATGTGGGTGGGGTAGGTGAAGCACCCACACTTGCCCCCACCCTCATTCGCCCCACTCTGGGCCCATGAGCAAGGCCCTTAACCACCATATGCTCCCTAAACAGGTCTCTCTTGAAAATGAGTTCTCGTGGATCAATGACACTACCTGGATAAATAAAGGGTAAATGAAAAAAATGAAAAAAATAATAATAATCCCAGGGTGAAATTTGAGGCATCCAGTAGCATGTTCTTGAATTAAATGGTCTAATTATACAGGAGAAAAAAAAACCACATAAAAAAAAGAAGCAGAACACACACATTTGGAAAAAGAAGATACGCACAAGCACTAGATGGTAGGGAGTACTAGATTCATGATTAACCTATATATATCTATCTATATGTACATGGA